ACAGAGGCAAAGGTTTAAGATTAGTTTATATACTTTTATTAAAAAGCTTAAGCCTATGTAAGCTTTTTATAAATATATTTAAATATATTTTAGATTTTATTAATAAGTTTATTTATATTTATTACTTATATAAATTAATAAGTTAGTTAGAGAGTATTTATAAGTAGTTTAAATCTTATTTAGAAGTAGTATCTATAGTTTACTAAAAATAAGAATACTTATGTTAATTTAACTATTATGTTATTAGCTTTAAACTATGCTATAGCTAACTATTTTACCTAGTTATCCTACTAGTAGTTTGTGTACACTTATAGAACTTATTTTATTACAGTGTTTATGTTTTTAGTCTAGCTGTTAGTCTCTAAGTAAAAAGCTATAGATAAATAAAAGATAATTTAGAGCTATTTATAGAGTTTATTCTAGAAGGCTAAGACAAACTGTGTACCTCTGTCTAATATAATTATGTTAGGTAGGCTATAGTAAACTTATACATATTAGTAGAATAACTAGGCTATATTAGAGGCAGTTATAGAGAAACATAGTATTAAGTGTTAATACTTAGTTAAGTAATTAACAACTACTATAATATTTATATACCCTTTAAATAAAAGTAGGTTTATAATAAAATTAATTAATATATTTTTTTAAGCTTATTTAGAAATTAAGAGTAGTTTAAGTAAGCTATTATACTTTTTTTAAAAGGCTTTTACTTTACAGCAAGTATAGCAACATAATATATATTAGCGTATAGTATAGAACATGCAGGGCTAGTAGTACTCTCTCTATAGTAGGTTAAGAGTCTTTCCTCTGCCTAGGTGTCTTCTAACAAGTAAGTTATGTATAATTTAAAGTAGTTTAATTTTTAGTTTGTTAGAATTAAAGATTATAAGTTAGTTATAGTAATATAGCTTACTATTTTAGTTTTTATAGTTAGCTAGTATTACCTTTTTTAACTAACTAGCGCTGTTTTAAAGCAGGTTTAAAGTTTTTTAGATAAATTTATTATTTAAATACTTATTAGTAATAATCTAATTAATTATTTAATCTATTTTATTTAGGTTAAGGTTTAAAAATAGCTTAGGTTAAAGTAAAGTTTAGTGTTAAGCTTTTTACACTTTTTCTTAAGCAAAGATGTCTTAAGATTGCCTTATAAAGGCATCTAGTTTCTCTTTATTTTAACTAAAATAATAAGTAATCTTAAAATTAAAATAAGATAAGTATTTAAACTAATAGGCTTATTAGTAGCTAAGTTATTTTATAGTTGTAAAGTACTATAAGTTCTTATAGTTAGATAGGACTTGTATTAGATGCGCTGCACTTTTTAGTTTAGGTTACTATTATTTAAAGCAGTGTACTATAGTAAGCAATTTCTTATTATAGATTTTATAATTACCTTCTATAAAACTTATTCTTTTTAAGAAGTATATAATAGGCCTAATAGTTCTGTCTAGCTTAGTCTAGAAGAGAACTCCTGCTACTACATAGTCTAAGGCATTAGCTTTTATAAGTATTAGTAGTTTAAAGTTAAAGTAGTAAAGTATTAAAGCTTTAGTAAAAGCTTTTTTTAGCTAGTTAAAAGACTATTAGTAATTTAAGTTAAAGTTAAATTAAACTCTTTTTTTAGTAAGTGTAATTATAAGGCTTACTAGCTGTAAAAAGTTGTTAATAAATTATTAGTAAAAGTTAGTAAATTTTATAAAAGCTTAAATATTTTTTATATTTTTTAAGTATTACTAATCTAGTATAGTCTAAACCTTAACAGGGTCTATTTAAATGCTATTTATAAAAATTACATATCCTAAATATGTAACCTTTAATTAGTAGAACTTACATTTATCTATATTAAGTTGCAGACCTGCTTCTTCTATAGCCTTTAGCACTAGGCGTACATGCTGTTTATACTCTAAAAGGCTATTACTATAGATTAGAATATTATTAATATATGTAGTGCAGAACATGTCTAGGTAGGGTTAGAGTAAGTTATTTATAAAATATTAAAAAGTACTAGGCGTGTTAGCTAAGCTAAAGGGCATTACTAGGTACTTAAATAGTCTATATTAGGTCTAAAACACTATTAGCTACTTATTACTCTTTACTATTCTTAGCTTATTAAAGGCAGTAATAATATCTAACTTTATAAAATACTTTACTTTACTTAGTTAGCTTAAAGTTTCTTATAAAAAAGAAATTAAGTATTAGTTTTTAATAATAATAGTGTTTAGTCTTTAGTAGTTAATACATAATTAAAGCTTACCTTTAAGTTTCTTTATAAATAGTATAAGTAACACTACTAGTAAAAAGCTAGCTTAAATAAACCTTTTTTTTAAGTTTTTATTAAAGTATTTTTAAAGCACTTTTAATTTATTTAGTAACATTTTATATAGTAGCCTATAACTAGGTTGTTTACTAGGCTTAAAAGTTATCTAGTAATTGTACAGACATTATATTAAAAGCTTATTAAACTTATCTTAGAAAAAAACATGTAATAAGTTATAGTAGTTTTAAGAGACTATTATTTTTAAGTTAGTGTGTTTTTAAAGAGCTAAAGCTTAGTCTATATTAGAAATTATAACTATGTAGATTTTATAATTTAGTTGTTAAGCTAGGGTTATAAACAGAGTAGGTCCTATGTAGTAGATGTCTATCTACTATTTAAGTCTTAGTTTATGTTTAAATTAAGTAAGTAAAGGTTCTTTAAAGGCTTTTTTTTTTAAGTTTAAGCAGTTGTTAAATTATTTTACATAGCCTATTTTAGTAAAAGGCCTAGCTTATTAGCCTTACTTAAGTAGTTCTTTTCTAAGTTATTAAAAAGTAAGTCTAAAAACTTTCTATATTAAGTGCTATTTAGGTATTATTTAGGTGTAAGTGTAAGTATATGTTTTAGTATTAAAAAGAGTTAAAGTTTAAAACTTACTTTTAGTAATTAAAAGCAACTTTATACTAATATAGCTATAGTTGTTCTAAGATTAGGTTATAACATCTTATGTTTATTATATAAAGCTTAATCTACTCTTTATAGTGTTAGTAAGTAATTATAATAGTTATAGTATAAAAAATAAAACTTTTTTTAAGTTATTTTTTATTAAATCTAGTTAGGTAAATTATTTAGGTAAGCAGTGTTAATTAAAGATTTAGTTTATGCACTAGTTTTTTATTAATGTAACTTATGCTGTTTACTTCTAAGTTAATAAGAGCTTATATTAAAGCTAATATAGTTTCTTATTATAAATATATAAAAATATTAACTTAGTACTTTTAGTTATTAGTAAGGGACTTAGCCTATAAGTTAGCAAAGATCTAGTGTTAAATTAGTCCTAGAGGGCAACTTAGCCCTAGGATAAGCCTTTTTACAGGCTTCTACTACTATAGCTGTAGCTACATTAAGAGTAGCAAAAAGAATTAGAGCTTAAATACAAGTTAAAGCTCTTATAAAAATAAAATTAAGACAGTAAAAATCTTTAATAAGTGCTAGCAGCGCTACTTATATAGACTTAAAAAAGAAAAATAAAGTAGTTTTAAAAAATATAACTATGCTTACTACACTTAAAGTATTAACTTTTTTTTTTATAATTTTTACACTTTCTAGAACTAACTAGAGCATAATTTAAATTAATTTTTATTATGTTAAAGTTCTTATTTATAACTGCGCTAGTTTAAGGGTGTATTAGAGCTTGTACAGAGAGAAACCTTATGTTATTATTATAGGTAGCAATTAAGTTTACATATGTATTAAAGTTGTTTAGAAGAGGTTCTTCTACTATAGCATGTTATA